CTTAAATATGGGAAAACTTAATTTTTGGATATCCGGAGGTATTTGCTAATTTCATATTAATCCTAAAACGAGATTTCTGAGCTTTTTAGACAATCCTATCATCTACAGTAATGAGAACAGTCTTATCTGATAGTTACAACTCATTCTAGTTTGAGCCTTAGTGCATAAAAAAAAAATTAAATCAATATTCTGATGACAAGCTCTGAAAACGTTTAAGATAGCACATGTTAAAAATTATTTGACAAGCAGGCTTACAAAAGATACGTAAAGCTGGAGAAAGACCTGAGGACAATTTCGATACTTTCTAGACGGTTTCCTCTGAAAGGGGGCTAAGTCCTATCCCCTCACCTGCTTAAGGGTTGTTAAGCAGGTGAGGGGATAGGACTTGGGAGACAGCGCTTAGTGTTTGGTGGGGCGGGGCTTCCCGTTTCCCTCCGCTGTGCCCTCCACAGGTAAACCACCCGCAAGGAGCAGATCCTGTGAGCATGCGTGGCCAGTGAGTAGAAAACCTGACTGGAAAACTGCTCTCCTCCCCTCAGCAGACAAACGAAAGTTAGCAATGCCCTTAGAAAGGGCATTAATTAAACTTAAACTTAAACAATTTAGTTTTCCCATATTTAAGTAAAAGAAAAAAAGACTGCCTATTAAACTGCATCCTTCTAATGCCTTTTGTCTCAGTCTTTTTGCATAACCACTGCTATTTTCCTGCCCTTGTCATGCCCTCTCCCTATCAGACATTTCTGCCTGGGGAATTAATCTTGTATTTTTTAATCACTATTCACACACAACACCGCATCGACTACTAAATTTAACATTTGAGTGCTGGTAGCTAGCAAAAAAAGAATAATTTGTGGAGAGGAGGCACTGGTTTTGGAATGGCTGGAGTTAATGGCCGATTTTAATCGTGGTATATGACAATTTCCAAATGCATTCAGTCATGCCCACATTAAAAAGAGTAAACTTAACAGTAATCATGTTTACCACGAAACAGTGTTGCATTTATTTTATATTTAACATAACGATAAATTATTTTTATTTTTCTAAGCAACTGGAAAAATCCAGCTCAATTGATCTTACAAATGAAATAAACTAAAAACATGGCTCTCTCGTCCCCAAATAACTACAAAAGAAAACCATTTATGTTATTTCATTTAAGTGAATTATATTTGATGAATGACACAAATACACATTTAGAGACCGATAACACTTCACATTCACAAGGCTGAGTGGCTATTTACCATTGTTTCAATTGTCTAAAAAAGAAAGAAACATTTTTGTCAACTTGTCCTTAATAAGTAATATTGAAAACTTTTTGCAAAATTTTATTAACTAGAATAATCCTTCTATCAAAAAATTTCAATTTATTTATGTTTAGGTGTTCATTTGTGAATGAGCTATAATAAATTCATACAGGAGCTCTTAAATGACAGTTAAAAGAAATTAGTGTTTAATAGCTGACATATGAAACAATTTAAATAATTTCTTAATCTTTCCCAAAGTACCTGTGTTTTGCCCCCCTGAATGTAGTATGGGCTTCCTTTTTGTGTGTGGCGGTAGGGGGGAGGATTTTTTCCCATTGATTTTTAGAGAAAGTAGGAGGGATGAAAAGAAGGAGGAATGAGAGAGAGAAAGAGAGAGAGAGAGAGAGAGAGAGAGAGAGAGAGAGAGAGAGAGAGAGAGAGAGAGAGAGAGAGATATCAATGTGACAAAGATACATGGATTGGTTTGCCTCCTACACACGCTCTAACTAGGGCTGGGGATCAAATCTTCAACCTATGCACATGCCCCTTAACTGGGAATTGAACCTGTGACTCTTTGGTGAGTAGGCTGCTTCAAACCAACCTTTTGATTCTTTAAATTGCTTGTCTTAGGAGTATAAATTTCATTTGCTTTAGGTTAAGCTGAAAGATATAAAAGAGTCCTGATAAACAAATTCCACATAATCCCTTTAACAGTCTTTAGCAATAGGGTAATGTTCAGATACATCTCAACAAGTACCATTCTAGAAAGATGAGGTTCCACAGCTACATAAAAGATGGTAGGTCTGCAGTTTTAGTGTGAGGTTCAGGGAAATGAACTCTAAAGTCCTATTTTTATATCTGGGGTGGAGAAAAATCCCTCAAAACCTGCCACTTTAAATGTAAATCAGATACAATCACACTACGATAAGTATTGAGATGAATGTAACTTTAGATAATGTTAATTTAAAAAACTTTAAAAAATGTACAGTTTTAATAAAATGTTAAAAATCTACACAATTTAAAGCAAAGGGGACATGATATTAACATCTATAACTCCAGGAGAGGGTTACTTAGTATTGCTTGTACTATTGCTTATTGCTTTTTTTAAAAAAAATTCTCACTTGAAGATATGTTTATTGATTTTAGAGAGAGTTAGGGAAAGAAAAGGAGAAACATCGATGTGAGATGTGCATGTCTTAATCAATCCCACAACCTAAATATGTGCCCTGACTGGGAACCAAACCCGTAACCTTTTTGGTTCCCTGTACTATTGCTTTTAGATTCCTATTAATTTGCAAATTTTTGAAATAAAAATGAAAAAAATTCATAAAATAAGACCCTATGACTGAAATAAAAATATAAGACAGACACAACATATGCCACTGAATATCATTGGTTTTAGAGTAAAGAAAAATGCCCTACTTATAGGTAAAGTCTTTCTGCTGAAAGAGAATGGGAGAAGCATTTGACTTGCATTAAAAGAGCAAACTGGGTTAGAAGGGAACAGGGATGAAATCCTAAGCATATTAACACCCTAAGCAATGTCAGCGCTTGAGTTTTCCAAATATTAAATCATGCAAAACACAACCATCTACTGACTTGCACGCTTATAAATGATAAAGGTTGAAAAAAACATGAAACTTTTGTTCAGCACAATCAGTATAACTAACTTCTCCATAAAATGAAAATGTTTCCTGACTTTGAGGAATAAAAATGTTTTCTCGCCCAGCCAGGTATAGCTCAGTGGTTGAGCGTCGGCCCAGGAACCAAGAGGTCACCGGTTTCGATTCCTGGTCAGGGCATATGACCAGGTTTCAGGCTCAAGTCCCAGTGGGGAGTGTGCAGGAGGCAGCCAATCAGTGATTCTCTCGCATCATTGATGATTGATGTTTTATCTCTCTCTCTCTCCCTTCTTCTCTGAAATAAAAAAAAATTAAAAAAAACATTAAAAAATGTTTTCTCAGTTGAAGGCCTGAAAATTGACATTATGAATTTCTTATATATTTTTTAAGTTGGTTATGCTTTAAAAGTAAAGTACATGGTTTGGATTTTTGTTTAGTCCCAGAAGTGATAAAGCTTCACATTTCCTGCTAGATCTTTGGCTGAACAGTATCAGCTTAGCAAAAGAGCAAGCTTGTTGTTGTTTTTAAATATCTTCATTTACTTTGAGATGAGACAGCAATTAGCAACCTCAAATTATCTGTCTTTTTGGTGAAAAGGTAAAGTAAAAATCATGTGCTCTGAATAATATCAATACTGAAATAATCCGCCTCAAACTAATGGCCCCTTTTAGATTCCCAGGCCTTCAAGGTCACCGTGTAGTAGACCATCAGAACACCTCTTCCTTCCTCATAGGCTCTGAGAGAGAGAAAAAACATACAACCCAAGGGCTAAGGAGCAACCAGTGGGCAGGTAACATGAAGCAATGACAATGAAACCAGTTTCTTTCAAATGGAAACATAGGTGACACTAGGATGCAAGGCTCCTGGAGGTTGGATAGAGAGGAAGAACAACAGCCGTAATTTCTGGGGATAGTGCCAACTGCTGGTTTTTCACTCTCACCCTGGGCCTCAGAAATGGTCAAAATATGACTCCTATTCCTCCCACCCCTCCCCCCCCATACCTTTCTGTCTTAGCTCTCTACACTAATTATTATCAATCGAATCATATACTAGAACTGAGGCAGTACTATGGGGTCATGAAAAATAAGCTTTTATATAGCTTGATAGCAGGGTCTAGGGAGATGGCAGAAAGCAGTAGAGAAACAAATAGTTTCAAAATTGAGCCAGGACCGGTTTGGCTCAGTGGATAGAGCCTGCGGACTGAAAGGTCCCGGGTTCGATTCTGGTTGAGGGCATGTACCTTGGTTGCGGGCACATCCCAGTATGCAAGAGGCAGCTGATCGATGATTCCCTCTCATCAATATTTCTAACTCTTATCCCTCTCTCTTCCTCTCTGTGAAAAATCAATAAAAACATATTTAAAAAAACAAAAAAAAATTGAGTGTTACTCTGTAGAAACTATAATCATAAACAAAAATATCTTAACTCTTTTAGTAACCTAAGATATCTTTTCTAATCATCTAAGATGATTCATAGAATCAACTAAACCAGAAACTGCCTTTTTTTTGTTTCTTTTTTAAAAACATATGTACATTGGTAGAAGCAAAAATTACTCAGAAACATTTACATTCAGTCAAGCCCATTTTTTTCCAAGTTCCCTGAGATAACATAGATGCAATACACAGCACAATGTTGCAGCAGACAGTAAATTATATTCACAAGAATCATTTACAGTAATGTCAATTTTTCTAATTCAACAAATATAACCTATAAAATAAATTATACCCCCATGATTGGTTGTTGCTATAAATTTGTTCAAACTGAGAAGACTGGCATGTCTAAAGCTCTGGAAGCGATTTTGGCACAAGTTACATCTTATCATTTTATTACGTCCCTGAGGTCTTTTAACAGGCTGGTGGTTGCCTTGGGCCTCTTCCGGGCCACCTGCGTCACCTCTCCCCACAATGCCTTGCAACTTGGCGTTGGCCTCCCGTTAACACTAAGTCAAGGTTTACTGCCATCATCTTTCTAACTGGCTGTGCCCTGCAGAGACCATGTACCTTCCCTGACATGAAGATTTAGAGTCCAGCTCTAAACCCCTACAGTGTTTCTGATGCTAATTAACAGAGCAGAAGTATTAGATGGGATACATCTCATGCGACCGCCTCATTATTTCTAAAGTTGCCTACAATAAATGTCAGTGTTTTAACACCTCCAGGGCTTTGTGCCTCAGGTGCTCATCCAAACACTGGATGGCAAAGAAGTCAATGTCCATGTCAAACTTATTGGCGAACAAGTGGTGCTTGTGCAGGATCCAGTTCAGGTCGCCTGCCCCAAACACACACACGGAGCGCACGTGCACCCCGCTGCAGGGCGGGTAGGGGGCGCCCTTGTAAACGTCACCCTCCAGGTACTGCCACTTGACAAACCTCACAATGGCTTGCATGTCGGACGTGTCATACTTATTGCTTAAGGGCACTGAGCCGGGGACTTCGGGGATCCTCTGAAGAGTGGCCCAGAGGTACTCGTCCGGGCTGTAGGTGTCTTTTGCCCACTCCATAAACTTCTGGATTTTTTCATTCTCCAGCACGTACTCTACATACTTTCTGCTGACCACGAAATAGGCACTGCCCGAAAACAGGGGTGTGTCCAGAGGAGGCTGCGTCTTGTCAGTCCCCGTGTTTGTCAGCTTCCCGTCCACGATGGCGTAGTGCTTTTTCCACCTCTCTTTTTTGTGGGGTGGCATCTTCTCCGTCTCTAGGCTGTTTTCTCCCGTCAGGGACTTGAGCTTCCTGACAATCTCCAGGTTGGTTTTAATAGGGAAATCCATGCCGCAGAGGTTTATCAGGTACTTCCAGCCTGCGTTTCTTCTGCGGAGGTCCTGCATACAGTTGAGGTCGGCCTGGACCCGACTCCACGACGCGTACACCACGGTCTCCAGCTGACTGGCCACAAAGACGTTAGCGAAGCAGGATGCAATGCCCGTCACCGCGGCCAGAAAGGAATCCTCTGACTTTTTGTCCACGTGAAGGCAATAGAAGTTCTGAGGCGTGTAGATGGCCCTCAGGAGCCTGTCCAACATTTCGATTTTGTGGTGCACCACTATGGAATATGCGATGGGAAACTCTGCCTCTTCTCTGCTGAGAGGTTCTACGATGTATTTGCGTCTCTTGATGAAAGAAGTACAATCACTAGTCATGTTTATATAGTCATAGGCTGTCCACCGAGGGCGCCTTTTAAATTGTACTGTGAGACTCTCCAGCTTCGCCTTTTCGATTTCGGCTACATCTCCCTGCAAAACTTTGGTGCAATTAATATTACTATTAGGATTCTCCCCAACTAGATCCAAATGTTCGATGCTTAGAAATTCGGGCTTTTGATAAATTCTTAAAACAGAGAAGGCGACTAGGGACAAAACGAGAAACCAGAAGAAGTATTTCGTGGGATAAGAAAACAGTCTCCTCCTCAGCAACTTCCTTAGCATTTCCATCAACAATCGGGGACTTTCCTTTCTTAAGGGCAGTCCTCCAGGTTTCCAGCAGGAATGATTGTATCTCTGCCGTGGCCTTGAGAGTGCTCAGTTTACGTTTACCAGAAGTGCGAAGACATCTTTAAGTGGAGAAGAGCAGGAACTAAAAGAAAACAGAAAGGATACCTATAAATACAGTCTTCCAGGACATTTTCTCAGGCTCCAAACTGCCCTCTTTGCTATGAGGTCAGGTTTTCAAAATAAAAACAATGAATCAAGCAAAGGAAAAGGAGTACTATACTAGAAACCCACAGTATCTAGTATTAATGCCACATGTTTTTTGTTTTTTTTTTTAAAAATTAAAAACGAAAAACCCTACTATAAGGATATGCTAAAATATCTTACAATAAGCATTTCACCTCTAAGGTGTAGAGCACAGTTGAAGACCTAAACTGTAAGTACTGAACTCTCCACAGCTGGTGGGTTTTTGATCTTGTGCCAGTTCTTTTTTTTTTTTTTTTTCTTTTTTTTTGGCGCCTTCTCCTTTATGTCTTATTCTTTTCTTCAGAAAACCATGGTGTCACACTGGAGAGTGTGGATCCATAAATAGCAAAGATTCCAATGGCAGACACATACTTTACAATATTTTAAAAATCAATGTGCTTTACTCACACACATTGAGCATTCTCATTTTTCCTAGCAGAATCTCTGCAGCTCTGGATGACGGAGGCAAATTGCCAACGATCACTGCAGCAAACTATCACCTCAGCTTGATATTCAAGTTAGCAGGAGATCAGTTCCATCTTGCGGGGCTGGTCATCTCAAGGATTTGAAAGTCTGAAAACATGAGTCCCCCACCTCTCCTTTTTCTTCCAGTTTTGACATGCCATTTCTTATTGTCATACACTGAGGGCTGTTTTTAATTCTGATCTGAATTTGTATTTGAGGAATACCTTATAAATTTGCAGGTAACTTTACTTGCCATGTAATTACCAGGTCATGGTAGTATGTTTTGATTTGTATGACTTAATATTTATTACTTGGCAAACAGAGGCTAACCATGGGTTCCAAGGCCTTACATGGACCTATTTTATTCAGCTTATAGAAGCTTGTCAAGTTTAAGAAAGATATTCTGTATCCTTGATGGCTAACTTTTTGGAAGAGGAAGTTGGCATTCATGTGTTTTCTGGAAAGGCTGTGCTGAAAGTCATTTTGGGAAGACCATGGACCACACAGCCTAGACATCAAGGATATAAGCATGTTGTTTCCTTGGTAACTGACAAATCCAGGGCCAGAAAGAACCAGAGTTTTTATAGACAGTTTTCCTCTGCTGGCTTGTGTCTGACTCTGAGATGTGATGTGGGCACCAGTCCTGGGATCTGCCTATAGCATGTCTACATTCCATTTAGATGAGTGAAAAAGTTTAGACACCAGATAGGAGGCAGACTCAGCAGCTTCCAGATCACAGAATTTGGGGGTTTCTTTGAAGTTGCCAGACTTTGCTGTTCATGTTACTTTCTCCCTCCCTCCTACTCCACAAATACAAACTACTCCACAGGATTCTGAAAGGTTGGATATACTATTTTGTGTGGATTGTAAAGAACCTCTCTTCTCTACAGGACTTTGCAAGCATAAAATTTCTGAGGGCAGCATTTGTCTGAATAATGATGGCATTGTCAGATTTGATCCAAAACTCCTGTGGAGGGAATTAATGGATATGTCATTGTGCAGGACTTGGTTTTTGACATCATAAAGTATTATAAAACACTATCCTTATGTTTAGTGCATACTGGCCATCAGGTGGTGGCAGTCAGGTCTGCCAGAGCTGGGGTCAGTGTTAGCCACTGGTGAGTTCGATGACGGTGAGTTGTATGGGACAAAAGCACATGGAGGGAATATGGCTGGTAAATTAGGTTGGGGCTGAGTTTCAGAAGGCCTTGAATGAAGGATACGAGGTTAGGTGCTCATTTCTGTAGGGAATGGGCAGCTGTGAGTGGTTTGATATAAGACAAAATTTCCAACTGGTATTTAAGGAAGCTACATGAAGGCAAGGGGACTATCTCCTTTTGTGCTCACCTTGCATAGAGCCTGGCATATAGTAGAAATATGAAAATTAGGCAAACACATGAATAAATGAATGAAACTCTTTTGTGCTCTTCTAACTGTCCAGGATGAGAAAGAGGCTGGGGTTGGTGTGGAGGAAACTGGAATGGAATTTCCTGGGACACATATAAGAAGCAGGGATTGGTGATTGGAAGTGGCAGGGAAGGGAAGGGAGGGACAAGGGAATGAATGAATGGAGTCTAAGGTCGAGAACCAGATTGGAAGATTATATTGTTCCATGTGACAGAAATTGTGCCAGTTCTAATTAGCACCCCTGACCTTAAAATCATTACTAATCTGGGTTCTTACTGACAGGTCTATTAATGCTCATCATTTGACATTAACAGGCCCAAATATTTGAATAAATCAGACCCATTTAGGATTGGAGATGCACTTAGGGAGATATTAAAAAATGGCTGTAACTTCTAAGGATACTTTGAAGGAAAAGCTGGTCAGTGGAATTTTCAAACTGGACCAGGAAAGATCAGCTAAAACCAGGCCACGTTTAGAACTGTTCTGAGTTAACCTCATTTAGTTCAGTTTGACACCAGACATCAAAGAAAACATTCACCAATTCAAAACAGAGACACAGGTTTGCATTTCTTGCATTGATTATAACAGACTATAAATCAATTTTATAACCTGGTAGTTCATTCTATAACTAAATGCTACTGTTCTTTAAAAAAAAAAAAATATATATATATATATATATATATATATATATATATATATATATATTGATTTCAGAGAGGGAGGGAGAGATAGAAACATCAATGATGAAAGGAAATCATTGATTGGCTGCTTCCTGTATGCCACCTACAGGGGATTGAGCCCGCAACCCCAGTCATGAGCCCTTGGCCAGAATCGAATCTGAGACCCTTAACCGCAGGCTGATGCTCTATCCACTAAGCCAAACCACTCTAAATACAAAAGCTCATGAATTCTGAAAGTAAGTCTTTCACACTAAGTCTTCCTCACCAACAGTCTACTTTAGGACTTGGCAACTATCATAGTGAGTGTCCTGGCGAAAATCCTTCCCTAGAACATCCATGCCTCTTCTGAGAGAGACCTCCTGTGAATCCTGTCATGAGTGTTTTTTAAGTAGAAAAACACAACCTAAGAAGAAATGGCAGAAGAAAATAATTTTTTTAAATAAATATTTATTGATTTTTTACAGAGAGGAAGGGAGAAGGAGAGGGAGAGGGTAAGATAGTTAGAAACATCTATGAGAAAGAAAGAAACATCTATGAGAGAGAAACATCGATCAGCTGCCTTCTGCACACTCCCTACTGGGGATGTGCCCGCAACCAAGGTACATGCCCTTGACTGGAATCGAACCCGGGACCCTTCAGTCCCCAGGCCGATGCTCTATCCACTGAGCCAAACCGGTTTGGGCCAGAAGAAAATAATTCCACCAAACAAAGAAGAGAAGGGAAACCAGTACCTAAGGCAATGGTTCTTAATTTGTGGCTTTTTGAAATTAAAACCAAGCAGCCCAAGAGTACTAAGTTCTATAAATGCTGAAAGTAAACTCTGCTTTTTTATAATGCTAGTAACAAGGAAAGTTAATCTAAATGCACCTGAGGTAATTATGGTCACTAAAAGTGTTCTAATGTAAAGTGGCAAGCTCCAATCAGTCAGTATCAGGGTGCAATTGAGTGCTCACTGGAGTGGGGGGACAGACAAAATGACTTCAGAAAAGTGAGAGAAGGGGCAGCAAGTAAAATCTGAGAAGCAGGTGGATGAAAGGCAACTGATTAAAGAGACCCAAGAATCTCAGGCTTAGCAGTAAGAAAAGAAAGAACCAGTTCTGTTTATGCAACAGGATCTTCAAACGGTTCAGGGAAATGTTGGCGCAGATACCAGTGGGGATCGGGAGTGTTGTGTGTGTGGTGTGTTTTTGTTTTCGTTTTTTTGTGTTTTGTGTTTTGTGTGTGTGTGTGTGTGTTTAAGAGTATTGACTGGCAGCTGTTTACAAATCAACTGGGTGTCTGCCATAAAACCTGACAGAGACCCAACATTTAGCTTCTGCAGAGGTTCTCTAGGCTGGGGCTCAGCAGGCATAAAGGAAAGCAGGGTTCCCAATCAGGAAACAGTGGAACTAAGCAAACCCAAGGACAAACACAATGACTATTGAAATCTCATTTCCTACTTTCAGCTATCAGCCTCAAGAACTTAGGCAGTCAAGCCAATACAGAAATCTATTTACTAGAGAATCCAACAAGGTCGAGACTTAAAGATGTTGTTTGCATTAGGAATTCCTTAAAAATGTTCAAAGGAAACAGACCGTGCATAGGAAAAAACTAATAATATTCTCAGATAGATGAGAAAAAACCTGGGCTGGTGTGGCTCAATTAGGTTTCCAGAAGGGGGGTGGGGAGAAATAAACCACATGAAAAGAATTTGAAGCAGAAAAATGTCTTCATGTTTCATAAAAATCAACCACAGAAGCCAGATAATGGAGCAATGCCGTCAAAGTGCATAAAGGCAATTCGAATGCCAGATAAGAATTCTTAGAACCATATAACTACTAAATAAGTTAAGGGTTAAATAAAAACACTTTAAGACAGGCAAGGTCTCAAAATATTTCACTTTATGCATCCTTTCAGAGGAAGATCCTGGAGGATGAGCTCCATCCAAAAAGTATAAATCAAGAAAGGGGGAAAATATTAGAATCAGAAAGGGCATCTACCATAAGAAGAGAAGAAAATCCCAGGATGATAGTAAAGGCCGTGTAGCAGGCCACCAGACAAGAAGGCTGGAGCAGGTCAGAAGGCCCTGGGAGCAGTATCTGCAAGAAGATGAAACTGATGGAGATAAACAGCTGGCAGAATTTGGAAGTGAATTTGTAATAATTCCATTGAAAACAAAGCAAATGAAGGGGGTTGGGGAGATAACTATTGACTCCAAAGAAATCT